GGAGAAGGGAGCGCTGCAGGCCCGCTGCCCAGCCAGCGCCCTGGGAAAGGGGCGAGGGCTCTCCGCAGGCAGCCCCGGAGGCCGCTCGGCCTTTCCTTGGTGCCTGAAGGGGCTTGGCGGCCGCGCCGGGCCCGGGCGGATTCGGGTGAGGCCGGGCCCTTCTGGGTGGAGCCGGCGGCGAGACCCCCTCGCCCCGCTTTCCCCCGGCGGTGTTGGAAAGAGGCGCCTTTCCTATCCGGGGCGAGCGGAGCAGCCTCTCGGGGCCTTGAGGGAAAGGACCAGGGGAGCCGGACGTCTCCTAGTCCTTCTTTCCTCCCTCCCTGGCGGGGCAGAGAAATCCCAGTGAGTACCTGGTTGAGCTCAGTCCCCGCTGCCAAGGCTGGAGTGGCCCATCCTGACGCCTCCCTCGACCCTGGGGGGCAATTAGTGCCCTGAACAGCTGCAATTTGCAGCTCCACAGGCGCTCCTTTTCCATTTGAGTTGCCCTGTCAGGATCCTGCATGGCACGGTTTTGCAATGGCACATCTTCCATTTTTAAACAGATGTACACGTGATGAAAGAGTAGAGGGAATAAAATGGGTATATGTGGTAGGACTGGCTATTAAAAAGGGCAGTGATGACTTGCTTGCTCTGGGTTAAATTCTATCACAACTTTTTTTCCTTTACATTTTGGAGAAAAAAAGTAGCTTCCTTTTTCATTTGTGGAAAGATTTGACCCAGAATCTTCTAAGGTCAAGGATGACTCTTTTAACTTCCCTCTCTTTCCTTGGACACGCATCATGAGATAGGGTAAAAAATACTTGTTTCCTGATTGGATTTTAAAGACTTTTTACTTAACCATGAAATATTTCATTTTTTGATTTCACAACGTATAGAGAAGTAAGGTATAATATTCAGATCAAAAATATCAGCTGCTTTTCATAACTGTATTTATAAACCCTCTTACATATCTAACTGTAATGTGATATATTTAAAGATAAACGCTTAACTCTATATTTGGAAGGGTACAGTTGGCTGAGAAAGCAATGAATGAGCCAAGGTCTGCTGGGACAGAACGGGAAGTGGAAGGAGCGGAAAAACCCATCAGTGCAGTGCAGCGCCAACATAAGACGGAGCGCCTGGGATGGGGAACGTCGCAAAAGAGCAGAAGGGAGTCCTGTCGGGGGATGCAGGAGCGCTGGGAAGCCCAGCTACAGCAGTTCCTGAAATCTCTGCAGCCCATTTTAACAGGAAGGGGAAACTCTGCGATGCCAGAGGCTTCTCCCTGGGAAGACACCAAGGCGTTTCTGGCCTCCTTCGAGCAGGTGGCCAAAGCTTGCCGATGGCCTCGGGAACGGTGGGCAGCCCACCTCCTGCCAGCCCTGAGCGGAGAAGCGGAAGCGGCCTTCCGAAGTCTGGAAGCCCGAGACCAGGAAAACTATGAGAAAGTGAAGGCTGCCATCTTGCGAGGGGAAGCCCTGAGAACAGAGCTGCAGCGGCAGCACTTTCGGCAGTTCTGCTGCCAAGAGGTAGAAGATCCCCGGCGGATCCACAGCCAACTCCAGGAGCTTTGCTGCCAGTGGTTGAGACCGGAGAGACGCACTAAGGAGCAGATCCTGGAGCTGCTGATCCTGGAGCAATTCCTGGCCAGCCTCCCACCGGAGCTCCGGAGTTGGATCCAAGCCCGAAGGCCGGATACATGTTCCCAAGCGGTGGCCCTGGTGGAGGACTTCCTGATGAGTCAACAGGAGGCCAAATCAAGGGCATCTCAGGTGGGTTTTACTATCCAAATCCTCAAGTTCCTAACAGGTTGTGCAATGCTGGTGTTGAATAACCCTCAGTTATTAATTGAAAACTAACTTACAGTGGTGAAATTCAGCTTGTTTTTTTAAGGTCATAGCCCACCAGAATGCATCCACAATGTCTGGAGAGGCAGTTTGGTGTGCAGTAGTGTTTAAGGTGCTGGCCTAGGAACCAGGAGACTCTGATTTCTAGGCCTGCCTTAGGCATGAAAGCTGGCTGGGGGACTTTGGGCCAGTCACTCTCTCTCAGCCCAACTGACCTCACAGGGCTGTTGTTGTGGGGAAAATAGAAGGCAGGATTATTAGGTATGTTCACAGCCTTGAGTTGCATATAAAAAAGAGATAAAAATAATGTCTAACTTTGTACCATCATTGTTATTGTTACTATTAACAGTAGTAAAGTGGCTCAGGTATTTTTATATTTAAACTGTTAATTGATACAAGGAGCTGATTACCTATCTGCTTTTCTCCTATAATTTCTGCCCAAGCATTAGACCTGGTAGAGTTCAGGTGCTCCTGATCCCAGCTGTAAAGCATTGTCATTTTATGGGACTTTGGAGATGTGTTCCCTTTATAGCTGGGCCAGCTGTGTGGAACAGCGTTCCTCATCTGGTCCAGATGTTCCTGATCCTGCTGAGCTTTCACAAAGCTGTAAAAATCTAGCTTTTTTAGCATGCCCTGGGGTAAGGTGCAGTCATTTATTTGTTTAAGCGATTCATATGGCTCCCCATCTCATAGCAATGACTCCAAGCTCTGTACAAGGATTAAAACCAACAAGAAAAATCAGTGATCCATATACTGTAACAAGTGTCTGAGGTCACAGAAACCGTTCCAATTACAGAAAAAAACCAAGAAAAACCAATTAACTAGCAGAGCGTGTTCTGTGGCCCAAATGCCTGGGCGGGAACAGCCATGTCTTTCAAGCCTTATGAAAGACAAGCAGGGCCATCTGGATCTCTAGAGCAGTGTTGCTCAACCTTGGCAGCTTGAAGATGTGTGGACTCCAACTCACAGAATTCCTCAGCCAGCAGTTGAAGTCCACACATTTTCAAGCTGCCAAGGCTGAGAAACACTGCTCTAGAGAGATGCTGTTTCACAAAACAGGTGCTTGGACAGAGAAGATATGTTATTCCTTCCCTCCGTATTAGTCTCTTCATTTTTTTATACTGTGATCAAGATGGTTATCATTTCTGAAACACGTTGCTTGTTTCATTCTTCTTTGACTTTTCCTTCCTTTATTTTTTGCTGCTCTTTAAATCCTAATGTATAAGCACCTGGAGTTACTCTGCCGTTTGATGCAGCGTACAAACTGATAATTAAGTAAAAATATTTATAATGTTCTGTTACAGATTTCCCCGATTTGTGCAGAAAAGAACCAGCTAGTGCCATTTCTTCCCAAAGTAGCCTACAATGATGAGCTCTATTAAATATATCATTAGCAACCATTTTTAACCCATAGGTCTTTAATAATCTCTCTAACAGTTTTCAGCGTATCAAATGTTTTGAAGGAACTTGTTGGCTTAACCTTGCAATGTAGGTTAAGGTTGCTCCTTTGAATTCTGAGCGGAGTTGGTGGGTATAAATGGTTGGATGTAGCTTTTCTGTTATGTAACTGGTTTGTTGAACAAATCTAATTCACTAGTTCCATACAATCTGGTAAGACCAAATGCTCCAAAGCGGAAAGATTTTTCACCCTAAACCACATTTTCAATGATGACTATAACTCCAGTCCAAGGGCAATAACGCAGTGGTGATGAGTGTGCTGTAGATCACAGCAAACATATCTAAGAAGTGTGTTAATGCTGAGGTTGGCCACTCTACTGATTTAGCTAACTGACCTTTGAAGAACCTCAAGAGAACAAAGAACTGCTGGGACTCTTCCTTGGTGGAAAAATCAGAATAGTATTTAGCTTCCAAGCTCCTTCATTCCATTTTGAGATTATGCTTACTGCTTCAGGGGCGTTTAAAGGAAAAGCCTGTGGATTTCCTAGTTGCAGAGAAAGAGCCCCTGAATGCTGTGAAGGGACCAGTCTACGGTGAAACCGATCCGAATGTGGATGCCAACTTGCTGGGTGAGAATTCATGGACCCTTAAATTTTCTTCTACCTTTCCTTTTGTGGGTTTGCTTTTTGGTTGAATAGGGAGGGCAGGATTCTTTCTACCTCATCAGTCTTGTGAGGAGACAATTTGGGAAACGTAGCTTGATGGTCGAGGATCAGGAAAGCTGCACCAGCTGGGTTCTGGAAGAATTGAATGCACATATGTGCTGTCCTTGCATCTGGCCAGATGTGTAAAAATTTGGCAAAGATGTATCTTAGCAATAGCCGTGTCTGTATCTAAGCATTATGATCAGAATCCTTCTCAATATTTAGTCCTTTAGCTGGCCCAGTTCATCTTTCTGAAGACTTTTCAGAACAATAGTCTGTGCAAGATCATTGCGGTAAACTGTGCAACACCTAAGCTGGTCAGTTAATTTTTGGTATATACAGTGGGGCAAAAAAGTATTTAGTCAGCCACCAATTGTGCAAGTTCTCCCACTTAAAAAGATGAGAGAGGCCTGTAATTTTCATCATAGGTATACCTCAACTATGAGAGACAAAATGGGGAAAAAAATCCAGAAAATCACATTGTCTGATTTTTAAAGAATTGCGAGAGCCCCAAAACATCACTGCTCTAGAGGAGATCTGCATGGAGGAATGGGCCAAAATACCAGCAACAGTGTGTGAAAACCTTGTGAAGACTTACGCGAGAGCCCCAAAACATCACTGCTCTAGAGGAGATCTGCATGGAGGAATGGGCCAAAATACCAGCAACAGTGTGTGAAAACCTTGTGAAGACTTACGCGAGAGCCCCAAAACATCACTGCTCTAGAGGAGATCTGCATGGAGGAATGGGCCAAAATACCAGCAACAGTGTGTGAAAACCTTGTGAAGACTTACGCGAGAGCCCCAAAACATCACTGCTCTAGAGGAGATCTGCATGGAGGAATGGGCCAAAATACCAGCAACAGTGTGTGAAAACCTTGTGAAGACTTACGCGAGAGCCCCAAAACATCACTGCTCTAGAGGAGATCTGCATGGAGGAATGGGCCAAAATACCAGCAACAGTGTGTGAAAACCTTGTGAAGACTTACTAAAAATCAGACAATGTGATTTTCTGGATTTTTTTCCCCATTTTGTCTCTCATAGTTGAGGTATACCTATGATGAAAATTACAGGCCTCTCTCATCTTTTTAAGTGGGAGAACTTGCACGATTGGTGGCTGACTAAATACTTTTTTGCCCCACTGTACTAATGTTACCTCTCTATGAAAGGGGGCTAATTTAGGGTAGTTAGTTTTGGTCATCTACCTGATCAGAAGAGGCTAGTTATGAACAAGGCCCAGCAAAGAATGTTAACAAAAAGCTCCTTAGAAACAGGACCTCCTGAATCCTAGAAGCTCTTGGAGATTTCAGTAGAGACTTTTCCTCCTGCCATTAATTTAGAACCTGCTTCTCCATAGAATTCGCCTCCTGCCCTCTTTTAC